GAATGGCTCAAAGGACTTACCACAGGATAAGTAATTCTAGCCAACCTTGGATTTGTCAAGAATGTGAAAATAGCAACAATGGGGAATGGGGATGCCAAAACAAAACAAGTGCAAAAAAATTGCACGTTGGATGAAATTATGGCCAAGTTAGACTCAATGGAAGAAAAATACAACACACTGTTTGTGAAGTTCAATGAGCAATTGCAGATCAACGAAAAACTTCGGGTTGAACTGCAAAGCATAAAAAAACAATTAAACAAAAAGGAGCAAAAAGACTTGGATAATAATTTGATAATTCAATGTGTCCCTTACAAAGAAAATGAAAATGCAGGGAAAGTGGTGGATAATGTTGGAAAATTCTTGGGAATACCTGCTGAAAAGTGAAAAAAAATATCAAATGAAGAGCGATGACTTGGGATATGCAGCAGACAACAAAATTTATATTAACCGCGATCTAACAAAAGCGAATCAGGAACTGTTTACAGCAGCAAGAAATTTTAAAAAAGAAAAGGGATATAAATATCTATGGTATAAAAATGGAGATATTTTTCTCAGAAAGAGTGACAGCGCTGAAACCATACTTGTGGAAAACGAACATATTTTAAAAAACTAGATAAAACCCAATGTGAAACTAAATTGGCTGTTACCTTTATGAACAGCCAAAGTATAAAAAAAAAATTGGACGAATTGAAATGTTTAGTAGTAAATGATAATTGTGAAATCTTGATTCTAGTCGAAACTTGGTTGATGGAAAGTGAAGATTGGCTTTATGAAATTGAAGGCTATCATTCTTTACATTCATGCAGGCTAAAGCGAGGAGGAGGTGCTTCAATCTATATAAAAAAAGGTATACAATTTAAAGAAATCTGTAAATCTAAACCTGAGGATACAATGAGCTGGATATGTGTCAATGTGGGCAACTTAACAATTAGTACCATATATAAACCGCCATCCTACAACTACAATCAGTTCATAGAGGATTTTGAAATTATACTTGCCAAGTTTCCAAAAAATCACGTAATAGTAGGTGACTTCAATATAAATTTACTAGATAGTGAAAGTCATTTAATAAAAAGCTTTAAAAATACACTCTTCCTAAATAATTACTTAGTTAAAAACACTATCAAGACAGAGTATGCTACTCGAGTAACCGCTAACACCAGAACTATTATAGACTATGTAATAGTTGAGCAAGCTAGCAGCAAGTGCTGTTCCCCCATAATGGTAGTAGATAATACCTTGTCTGATCACAACAAACTTGTATTTAACATCACAGGAAAGGTGAAGACGTATAAACCAAAAACAGTGTATCAAGTTAAAAGTGTGGACCACAATAAATTTAAAGCATCGTTTAGTGAGAGAATTAAAAGCAAAATTGCATCATTCCAGGACCTGATAAATGTTTTTGGTTCATGTAAAGTTGAAGCAGAGTATGTAAAAGTTATCCGATGCCATGAAAACAATAAGTGGATGACTAAAGAATTACTAGATCTAATAAAGAAAAAGGACAGAATGTATAAAACCAAAAAGAAACACCCTAACAATAACAGACTTGATGAAGAATACAGGACTTTAAAAAACAAGGTAAATAATAAAATAAAGACTTTAAAAAATCAATACTTCAGAAGGAAGTGGTGTGAATGTGGTAACAATTCCAAAAAACAGTGGCAATTTATCAATAGTTTAGTAAAAAATAAAAATAACCCAGATACCGTAGAATCTATAATTGTAAATAATAGGGAAATTAATGACCCAGTAAATATAGCTAATGAGCTTAATATTCACTTCTCCAATGTAGGTAAAAACATAGTACAAGAAATAGACGAACAAATTGATAATCTAGTACAAATTGACCGTGATAACCTTCAATTCAATGAAATTTACTGTGATAAAACAATATTTTTGGATCTATGTAATGAAAAAGAAATGATGGATATATTGTTAGGTTTAAAAAAAAAAGTCGGCCCCTGGTCATGATCAGGTAACAGTTCAAGACATACTGAATGTAAAAGATGATCTTGTAGTTATTTTAACTGAGCTAGTCAATAAGGTTTTGGTCACTGGTGTTTTTCCACATGAATTAAAAATTAATAGAATAAGTCCTAGAGCAATTACCGTCCAATTAGTGTAACTAGTGTGTTTGCAAAAATTGTTGAAACTGTTATTAAGCAAAGAATGATGTCTTTCATTAGTAAGTACATAGATCTCGATGAATTTCAATATGGCTTTACCAAAAACAGTAGTACTCTGGGCGCCGTGGTCGATCTTGTAATTAACATTTCATCCGAGTTAGATAGGGGGAATTTAGTAATAGCAGTGTTTGTTGATCTACAGAAGGCCTTTGATGTAGTTAGTATTGATATTTTATTAAAGAAATTGAGTTGTATGGGATTCAGGGGCAATATGTATAATATTATACAATCTTATTTGTCTGATAGGCTACAGTACGTAAGAGTGGGTACACATCTTAGCCTCGCTGAGAGCTGTAATTTTGGGGTGCCACAGGGCTCGGTTCTTGGCCCTCTATTTTATTCTCTTTATGTGTTGAGTCTTAAAAATGCTGGTCTGGGTTCAAGATATTATACATTTGCTGATGACACAGTACTAGTGTATAGTTTCAATAATGTAGAGGGCATCGATAACATTGTGAATGGTGATCTGATGTTATATACTGATTGGTTATTGTTCAATAAATTAAAAATAAATGTTAATAAAACCAAATTAATGTTGTTTAAACAGAAAAATAAGACTGTTCAAATACCAAATATAGAACTTAACAATGTTGGCATTGAGCATGTATCAAAAATGAAATATCTAGGACTTATTATTGACAATAGACTCAGTTGGTCGGAACACATTAAATATATTTCAAGTAAAATAACACCAATGATTAGTGCACTGTATAAAAACAGAGACTACCTTTCTTATAATACTAAGCTTAATATATACAGTGCTTTCTTTTTAACACACTTCAGATATCTCATTCCTGTCTGGGGCACCTGTGGAGTTGTAAACCTAAACCAAATGCGAGTTCTGCAGAATAAAATATTAAAGATTTTATTTAAATATAACCGTTTAACTCACATGGAAGACCTTTACAGGAACTTGGGGGTCTGGAAACTAGATAAGGTACTGTGTTTCGAACAGTGCATATGTATAGAATTATTAATAAAACTCAAAAAACAAATGTAGAAATAATCCACTCCAGAAATGTGCATTCACACAACACTAGGACACAAAATTATATACATCAAAATATCATTAAAACTAACAAAGGCTTTTATAATCCAATTTATCAAGCGTCCAACGCCTATAATCAACTTCCGGATTATATCAAAAATATAAGAAGTTATAAAAGTTTTGTGAAGCAGCTAAAATCATTTGTTGAGTAATTATTATTTATACTAGTAGATAAGATATTATATAGTGTATAGTGTGTGGTATTTAAACCTAGACAAGCCGTCTAGTGGTAAAATTATTATTTTTTTGTCCTTAATACCAGTGCTTCTAAGCACTGTCCAGAGGATATTTGTTACGTATATTTTGTAATTTATTAATATAGTAAATAAATATTGAGTTTTCAAAAAAAAAAATACGGATGAGTAGGTATTTGTGTTTCGTATTCCATTGAAGTCGATTTTCATATAAAAAAAATTAAATTATTTCAGGGTTGGATTACAAAATTCAATTTGTAACACCTTATTTCTCAATGCCAAACTTGCAAACATGCGCAAGTTTGGAAGTTTGAAATCACCTTTTAAAATTGAGGAGTCGAGGATAATTCATAGCTACGTGAAATTTGTTCGACCCGTCATGTACGAATAGTCGCATATTGCTCTGGCGTCTTCTTTCATCTAAATTGATTTTTTAGGAAATTTTTTGAAAGAATTCCCGTCACAACTGAATGTTTTTTCTCTTGACAACGTGCCATCGATTCTGCATTTCACAATGGGATGGCTAAGGATGAAAAACCTGTGATTCAGAAGGCTAAGAATGCTTTGGCTGATTTAGGTATCCTTTGATCAGACCCTTGAAAAACAGAATGATTTAGTTACACATCAATATTTGAAGAATGGAAATTATTAACACTTTTGGTACTATATGGAGTCAGACTTTGGTCGATACTGAAATTCAGTATTCGAATTCAATTCCTGAATACGAGATTAGAAAAGTGTTCGAGTACAGAGGATTCAAATATATGGTTTCCACAAGTATTCGAATAAAAAGTATTCGAATACTGGATTGATTTTAAATAAATATTATTTCGAATATTTGTTAAGTTCACTATAAAAAAATGCATTTTTGAACAAAAGCTTTAAATAATATTCCTTTCAATATTCGCTTTTCAAGTATTGATGTGTTCTGAATACTGGAATACCAACAAACGGTAACTTGAATCCAGAATACTGAATACCGGTTAAAAAAAAGTAGTTCGAATACAAATACCAAGTTTTCTAATGTATTCGAATACAAATACGAATACACGTAAAAGTAGTTTAAAAAGTATATTGTTAATACTTGTATCTACACCTGGAATATAACATTGAATTGGAAAGTTGTATGAAAAAAAAAATGCTATATAAGTAAATGGAAGCTCTGGCAAGGTCGAATGCTAAGAACATTCAAACAAATAAAATACGTAAAAAAGATAGGTATGTAGGTATATTATTTCCATGTTTTTATGAGATTCGTTTCCGAAACTCCTTTTTCTGATGTGTTTTCAACGATAAATTATTTCAAAGAGGAGGAACGGCTTGCAAATTGCCCTGGAAAATACTAAAAAAGATAAAATACCGTCCTTTTATGAACAGCTGTTTCATATTGTTTGCTGGCGCTAGTACACTCTAATACACAATTTAACCCATTGAAACAACGGAAATAAAAAAAAAATTCTCTCACAATAAATAATTTAATTTCAACTATTTTTACAATTCATGTAACCTACTTAAATAAATAAAATAAATGAGTAAATAAATAAATAAATAGGTAAATAGGTAAATATTTAATAAAAGAATAATGAAGTAGTATAGCAGACCTTATTAGTGATGCTTTATTTCAGTCAAATTGGATCAGTGAAAAATTAATATCCAATTCAAGTGAAATGTTTGGGAAAATATTATACGAGTCCTCAAATAGGTTATTTAAATTGGTGATCCGTACAATAAATAATTCTAACACAACTTACTTTATTATGTAGGTTTTTGTTGATTACCATCCCTAAAGAAGCAGTGGTAAATGCAGTATATTCTTATTTTAGATCTAAAAGGAGTATATTTTAGAAAAATCGCTTATAAATGCAGATGCTTCTACTTAAAGGATGCAATTTTCGTATGATATAATCAGCATTGTCTTTTGTTAAGTTTCTATATAGAACATACCTATCTAACAAATAGTTTCAAAGCAATAGATAGAATCAACTGTATCACTCTGGATGCTTTGAACTTTTGATTTTTTTTGCATAAAGTCATTAGTAGATTGAAAAACCTAATTTTGTAATTTTCTAGCTTGTACAAGTTTATTTATTTCATTAAAAGTAGTGAGCAATGCTGGACTAGGTTGGTTAGCGGTCAGCGATGGACATCCACCATGAGCTAAACATTCTTCGCCATCTTGACCGTCTTTGGCTGCCTTCATATACCTGAAGAACCTGAGGATTTCTGGATTATCAGAGGAAGGTTTTCGAAGTTCATTGAGTTCCCTGAAAATAAAAAAATGTATTGAAGCAAACGAAGTGAAAACCAATAATAGATTAAGGCTCAACCCAAGACTAATTATTTGGCAACTTCCTATTCAGGAACTCCAAATTGACTTTAGCTTAATAAAATTTGCCGCATAGTGATCGATGGAATGAGCCTTTGTAATTTGATATAGATAGACAAAACTAAATTTAAGCTGAAAGGGATACTCCACCTAACTTAATAGGAAACGGTTAATTTTGTATTCGTCGCTTGGTAAGTGACAGAACTAACTTTTGCCAAATTAAGTTTAAATTGTCTTGTATTGATCTGGATTCAATCTTCGTGAATTTTCACTTTTGAATAATGTACATTTGAAAACCTAATTATTTATTACCGGACAAAAGCACTGACAAAAGAAAAAAGCAGGAGAACAGTGGCGCAGATTTATCCTACTAGAAATGCGGATGATATTCAGGGAAAAGCAAAACTGTGGCCTTAGGAAGTAATACCTATGCTGAATAGCGAGATACATAATATAAACAAATATTTTCATGTCTTCCAAGATCTTGAATCCATCGAATTATTAAATTATATTTATTTTGGCAATGGCGACTTTGCTTCATTTCCAAAGATCGATGTGTCTGCACCTTTGGGCATATCAGACCACAAATAGATTTCCGCTCGAAGTTCGTTTGTTATACCCGATCCAATACCTTGTAGGGTATGACATTATGGAGCTGCAGACCGGAGAGGCTAAGGAGTTAGTTAACAATTTGAATCCAATTCAACGATCGAGGACAATAGCAGAGCGCCACAGGTACTGCCACACATTGGTTCTTACATGGACAATGTTGTATTTAGACCTTAAACTATTAGAAAAATTCTTCTGCAACTTGACTCGAAAATCTTGTGGTATCCACGCCATTGTACCAATTATCCTAAAAAATTGCGTACAAGAATTGGCTTCAGTTCTTCGTGAACTGATTTCACTCTCGTACTGTCAAGGCGTCTTCCTGTCTATCTGGAAATGTAGCAGAGTATAACCGATCCCGGAAAACAAAACTCTCCCTAGCAACCATTGTCCCATCTTACCTATATCCATATTTTCGGAACTAATGGAAAAGACAGTCAACCTGAAACTGTCTAAGTACCTCCGAAGCCAAGCTCATCTCTGACAAACATTGCGGATTTCGTTCTGAAAGATCAACATAAGATTTGCTGGTGTATGTCAGTCATATTTGGAACGAAAAACATGGCGAATCTAGAATTGTAGCATTGGACATCTCCAAGGCTTTTGATCAAGTATGGCACAAAGATTTCCTCAGCAAACTTCCATCATATGGTTTTCCGAACGAATTCAGCCATTGACTGGGAATCTTTCTGGAAGGCAGGCCACTGCATGTTGTGGTAGATGGTGTGTCTTCTGATACACTGCCTATAAATGCCGGAGTTCCCCAAGGCTCAATTCTGTCCCCAATCTCTTTTTCTCTATTTTATATATGATTGGTTTGTAACAATAAATCTCACGTACAGCTTTGCGGAAGATAGAAGCTTGATAGCATTTTTCCTTTCTGGCAAACCGCATACTGCAGCCATCTTCACGCGCCTCGCCCGAGAACAGATTCACTCTATGAACAGTGATCTTGACACCAATACCAACTAGGGCCTTAACAAACTAGTCAAATTCAATGCTCCCGAAACTCAAAAAAGAGTATTCTCAAGTGAGGAATTTTCCGCCGATGATAACCCAGTTTTGAGGATGTGTAACATTCGAAATGTCACAGAAATATATATATTGTTCTTAATTATTTTTATATATTTTGGACTCCAGTAAAAGTACTATTTCCTACACCTAGCGACATCTATGATTCTTCTGACTAGTTTTCCTAACCTAATATCGAGAATTCTGTTGTTCCGAGTCACCTGTAGCGCTGTCATTTTTATGATTTTGATAAGCTTGACAGATTAAGAGAGTACTTTTGACTTGCCCTTTTCTTTTTGTTTTGGGACCGAACAGGTCGTCCAGATTTTAGAATTTTAAAAATCTTAAAACTTTATCTTTGTTTTTGGCCCTCGAAAATTAACTAGCCAGAAGAGTGCTTGATCGTGTCTACTAGAAATTTTCCTGGAAAATCAACCGATTGTCTATTTTTGTGAAGATTTTGGCAAGTGAGGTTACTATCGGCCGTTCAGGTATGTAAATTCCTTTTTCTCTCTGATGAATGAGTCCATATATTCCCTCAATTCATTCAGGCACCTTCGGCAGGACGAAAAATCCGTGCCTGCACTTCTCCAAGTGAAAATTGACGAATTTGAGACCACGCTGTCCTGGAAACTCAGAGCAAATCTGGGCCCCCTTTACAAGGAAAGTTTGTGTCCTGTAAGAAGTTGATCCCCAACCATTATTTTGTTGTCTCCAGTCAGTTTAGTGGTGCCGCGAGACGAGACTAGACGAGACTTAGGGTTGGTCTCGTCTCGTCTCGACATCTCGAGACGAGACCATGACTTAGTCTCGGTCTCGAGTACTAAAGTCTCGTCTCGTCTGGTCTCGAGTTATACAGGGTGTCCAAAAAATAGCGTAAAAACTCTTCTCTACGTGGTAGAGGACCTTACAAGGAACCCCAGGAAAATATTTGAAAAAATCTAGTGACATTCTTAAGAAAGTTATTTGCATTTTAATATTTATTGAAATTGACAACACTGAAAATATCCCGTTGACAATATGTCAGAGAATTAAATTAAATACCCATGTAATTACCTGAAGAATTCGAAGGTGAATTTTCACATCTACCTCTTCATATTACCAAGAATAATGCTGGAGAAGGATTTTTTTTAATTCAATTATTTTTCTAGGGTTTCTCAAAGGGTTCCCTACTACGTGGAGAGTTTTTACGCTATTTTTCGGACTATGATTTTTATTTTTATATTATAACGGAAGTCCAAACTATGCCACAGTGAAAAAGCAATTAGTGAAAAATCACAGTAAAGAGTAACCGTGATATTTAATTTACTGATTTCATATTCAAATATAGTCAGTCAGAATAGTCCAATAATAAAGCTATGAAAGAAAAATTTAAAGTGAAATCTCGAGACTCGAGACTACACGAGACTCTCGCCTAGTCTGGTCTCGTCTCGTCGAGACTTCACGAGACGAGACCAAAAGCCAGTCTCGTCTCGAAAAGTCGAGACGAGACAAGACCAGTCTCGAGTCTCGCGGCATCACTAAGCCAGTTTAATACTTCCAGAGCTCAAATTTGTGACAACCTCCGAGGCTTTACAAGGATTCCGTCCAGGCTTGTAAAATTACTTACCTATGGGTGTCTTAAACGTGCCATCTTAATTACCGTAACCTATTTTTACCTTTCCTTTATCGCCCCCTATCGTTTAGCTTCATTAGCTAATTAATATCTTTGTAAATTCAATTACCGACTTAAAGGGGGTGTGACCCAAAAATTAAAGTTTTAGTGCAAGAAAATCTAAGAATAAATATTTAAACCGCATCTTGCTATGAAGGTCCGTTTTCGAGTAAGGACGGCTTAAAGTTATAACTAGGTGTTTGTGACGTCACACTGAATTATCGGGGACAGTATTAACACGTGTGAGAATTTCCCAAAACGAAAGACAATTATCTCCTAGAGCGAATTGCAACCACTCAAAGTATAGGGTACGGTTCATTGACGACTGAACGAACAGAAGACTGCGATTTCTGCGGTTGTGACATCACAAGTTTCTGCATAATTTATCTTCACAAGGATTTATCTCTGACACTATTTTGAATACAGGACTGCGGTTTTCACGAGACATCTTAGAATTTTTTTCTTGATTCAAGTAGCTTAAGTCGTTTTTTAGGGTCACACCCCCTTTAATCGTTTACCGTATAGTAGTGTTTAGCTAGACTAGCGAACTACCGTTTAAAATTAATTTTTAATTTAATTAATTGATTATTATCAGAGTCAAATATTAGCTTTTATTATCGTTTTCCTTATCATTATTCATTAAGTATCTAATAATTATGCATTATTATAATTATTATAAATTTATTTCCTTTATATCGAGTACTGATCGATATAATATATTGTGGGTTCATTAACCGTTAAAAAGTTTATTTAATTTTTAATTTCAAATCAATACAACAACCTAAACCAATGTGAAATCTTTAGGTAGTCAAATTTAAGTTTTATGTTTACCTATTGTGAATTTTAAAGGTAAGAAGGTAGAGCTCTTCCGGAAACCGTGACCCCTTGATTTCATTTAGCAGGTTTTTGATATTTATAACTGCCTAGGGATTATTTATTACGTTTCTGCATTGATTAATTTGTTTTTTATTGATTTGATTGACTTTGAGTCAAAAACTAAAGGTCCATTTTATTTTGACTTCAACATTTATACTTAGGTAATTCTCATCGTAGGTATCTATCTAATTGTTTTTAAATTTCAACCTTTTTATATACTTGTTTAAATTAAGTTTTGCTTCCGTAAGCTGCTAATTTTTTTTAATAAAATTGGATAGTGAACAATATTCACCTTTAAGCAATTTATTTGTTTCAATGTTAACGAACAACAAGTTCGCCATCCGTTCAACAAATTGTTAATGAACAACAAGTTCGCCATCCGGTCACTAAATTGTTACTGAACAACAAGTTCGCCATCCGGTCAATAAATTATTGTTTTAAGAATTCCAAAGCTTGTGTTTTTATTGAAGGGGTTAAATGTCAGATAGGTACTGGATTTATTTTACCTTTTCAGATTTCTGAATTTATCTTTTTAAATAATAGCTAGTTATTTGAATAGTGTCTAGTTTGGCTATTCTTTGATAATTAAAATAATTTTATACAAACTAGTGGCGCCCTCTCTTTACTGTACCAATACCAAGGACCACCCCAAGCTAAAGAACCACTGAGCATAGTCTAGCACAATTATGAGCATTCTTTTGTTTCGACAAAAGAGCGTTACAGATATCGGGACCTTTATATCAGTATCTCTTCTTGGGTCACCGCATCAACCAACTTGTATTGGCATG